CAAAAGAAAAATAAAACCATGTAGAACGTTCTACCAAGAAATTTAAATTTCAAACTAAAAGTATGTGTCACTAGCATTCATCCAAAGATCTTCAACTGAAAGCTTTTTTGAACAAAGCATTTGATTTATATAAAACGCTAATTACTGCAAATGCTTCAACCTATAATAATCGAAAGTTAATTAATGAAAAATTTAATATTAATTTAACGAGAAAAGATATAAATAATTTCAAACAAAAGATAAAATTTAATCTTGTCGGGAATCACAGTGATCCAGAATTATTACAAACATGGATTGATCAAATTTTAAATGAAAACCAGAGCAATTCCATTCAAATTCAAATTAATGAAAATGGTACTTTAGAATGTTTATTTATTCAAACTTCTCAAATGAAAACATGGTTTGCGAAATATGTAAATAGAGCACATATAGATTGAACGTTTAAAGTAAACATCGAAAATTATCAATTATATGTATGTTTGGCACAAAATGCAAATTTAAAAGGTGTACCTGTGGCTTATTGTTTAATGACCAGTGAAAATAAAGACAATTTAGAGTTTTTCTATTTGGCGATGAGTAAGAATAATAATTTAACACAAACACAAGTTGCTATTGTCGATAAGGATTTAACAAACGTTGATATTTTACAACAATATTTTGATAAAGCAAGAGTATTATTATGCATGTTTCATGTTCTGAAATATTTAAAAACTCGAATTAATATGCTTAAAATTCCATTAGACAATCGAATGAATATTATGAAAAATGTTCGAAAGTTACTTTATGATAATGATCAAATGTCAGCTATATATCTGGAAGAAATAAAAAACAATTCAGAAGAAACAGATTTCTACGAATATTTCGAAGGAAATTGGTTCTCGTGTTGCGAAATGTGGCAAATAAAGCATCGTAAAAGTCTATTTAACTTTGGTACTGATACGAATAATCATATTGAACGGTTTAACAGAACATTAAATGATCATATATCACCTAAAATGCACATATCTGAATGCGTAGCAAAATTGATTTTGATTGTTGATGACGCTAAAGCCGATGAAATGAATATAAATATTAATTTGAAACAAAAGGTTTATAATTATGATGATTCAGCGTTACTTAAAAGATTTCATTCACAAATTACAAGTAAAGCTATTGAATTATTACGAAAACAAAATGAAGAACTTAAACATGAACATTACTTTATCGAAGAAATTGAAGAAAGTAGATGAAAAATCGGTCAAAAAGACGAAGAAGAAAATTATTTTATTACTATAAGTATAGTTTATCGCCACCCATATGAAGACTTATTATTTTGCAACTGTCAATTTTATTTACAAAATCAATTAATTACCGTGTCGACAAATGATAATCTTACTTGATAGAAATACCGATGAGTTATACGATCAAGCAAATAAAATACAAGAAGTTTTTTCAATTAACAAGCGATGGTTAAAAAATCCAGTTGGTTATTATATAAATGAAATTGATCACGATGATACCGCACAAAATTTTGATTTACAATTTATGATACCTCAAATTACAACTCAAAAACATAAAATTTTAAATACTAATGAGAAGTATAATACTTTGAAGCCAACTTTAGATTTATTAACAGCTCACATAATTGTATGTGGAACTAATAAATTTATGGAACATCTAAATTATCTAAATATTCTTCTAAATTTTATCAATATAAATAAACATAAAAAATTGTATGATTATGCAAATTTTTTAAAAGACAATTATTTCAAGCATCAGGATCCGAAAGCCGAACAAAAACTATTTATGGATCTATGTGATGATATTCAGCAAGGAACAACAGCAGAAAAAGTAAATTTCGATTATATAGAAGAATTTAAAAAACAAAGTCACATGGAATTTAATCAAGAAGAATATGAAGGTCAGTTTTTTGAAGAAAAAGAAAAAGATCTATCAATTTTAGGACTCGTATTAGAAGTCGAAGCAAAAGAAGAACAAGATCATATATTATCAAAAGAAAGAATAATTTTCAGTTATTCACCAGTAGTTATGCCTTCTGGTAGACATCGTGCTAAGGCATCGTTAGTGGCTTGTAAACAAAAAGATGATGAAAACCATCAAAATAAAATTAATAGAAAAAGAAATTATAAACAAGTTTCAACAGATATAAAAATATATAATTATAAACGTAATAAAAAAGTTGATTCAGTTCATGACGTTTATGATAATACAACATGGTTAACGGATTTTCATATATACTTATTCTTCGAATTATTACATGAACAATTTCCAAACATTAATGGTTTATGTGGTCCAGCACAAATTAAATTATACACAGGTTCATTGAAGAACTCAATATTCATTTTCAATGCAAATAATAACCACTAGTTAACAATCTCAAATTTCAACTCTAATGATTTTTGGAAAGTTTATGATTCATTAAGTTATCTAAAAGAATCATTAATTCGATTTTTTAAAGACATCTTACCTGGAGACGAAAAAGTTTTGGTTTCATTTGAAAATGTTCAACAGCAAATTGGTTATAACGATTGTGGATTATTTGCGTTGACTTTTGCTACTTCTCTTTGTTATGAAGATGTTCCATCTTTATTGTTTTATGATCAGAAATCTTTACGTAATCATTATGTTCAATGTATTGAAAATAATAAAATACAACCATTTCCTTCGAAGCCCAAGAGAGGAAGTACTAGAAATGTTTGTAAATTGGTTGATCTTTATTTAAATTAAGTTTTTTCCCATATTTATATAATTGTAATACTTGATTTCTACTTTTTTTGATCAGTGTTGAATCAAGCGCAATATTCAAAAGATTTTTTTTCTGGTCCGCTTGCGTAGAAACATGGAATTTTCTGAACTTTGTTGTTTTCATCCAAAAACTCGATGAACCGAATGTGACTTGGACTCCGTGTACCCGATTTCATGTCGAAACTGAAACACTGAATTCTTTACATGTGTGTGTACGAGCATTATCGACGAGCACTTCTATGCGATGATTATAAGCTTGTTTGAATTCAATCATTTGGAATAGCCTTTCAAACTGCTCGAGCGCCAAAACATCATCTGATCGAAGCCGAAGCAGAAGCTTTTTCGAACGTCAAGTCACTCTCCTGAGTTAACACTGGATATTTCTTTACAGCAGCTTCCCATTCCTTTGGATTTAAGTAAAAATATGGGGACGACAGCCGCGGCCCTTACTGAAAAACGGAACTGTATCATCGATCACCCAACGTCTTGGACTCACTTCTCCACTGCGAAAGGTACTTTCATCATGACAAAGCAATACTGTCGGGTTGGAAGAAGTTGGTTGAATCCATTTTGGGGGGTTGTCCTCGGTGAGCCGATAATAATCGTTTTCCTTTTCCAGGAAATGCTTGACAAATTCTGTTGGATGTTGCACCACTTCTTGCCTTTCATGGCCTTCGAAATATGGACGTGCCAAATTCTTCTTACTCCTTCCACCCCATCGACGAAAATCTAGCCGACATGAAGCAATCGACCTAATCCGCTGGAAGTCAACGAACCTGTGATTTCATCGTATCGCTGATCATTAAATGTTGCGAGGTCAGCAACTGTAAAACTACTACTTTTTTTCGAACACTGTTCAACAACAAAAGCACGAGCCTCCAATTCAAGAGTTGGAAACACATCCCAAAAACTGTCCGATCGCTTTCCACCTGTATTCTCAGCACTGAACTCCTCAAAATCTCCCTGAACGAATAACGTCGACCATCCATTTGCTGCCTTAGCGTTCAATGCACCAATGGTTGTTGCACTGGACTGTCGTTGAGACTTCCTGTTGACCATCGTTTCGCCAATGTTACTCTTGCTTTAGCTTTTCTTTTTGAAATTGTTGGCATTTTTCACACAAACAACTATGAACGACAAGACCAGGTGTCCACTTTTTCTCTTTTTCTCTTCCTCACCTGCAGCGGCAGATAAAAATTTTATTTTTTCCACTTTCTGACCGTTTTTCTTGCGTTTGTGTTGTGCACTACCATCACTGGTGAACACAAACGCAAGAAAAACGGTCAGAAAGTGAAAAAACTAAAATTTTGCCATTGGACATGGTTTGTGCTAGAAAACCTCTCCGTATTCTTTCTAAAAAGAATACCTCAGACTATGGAGTTTTGCATGAAGAATCCAACGAACACAGAATCAAGATTCTGTCTCTTAGTGTTAGGGACTTGATTCTTTTCTGGCGGAGGACTTTTGCGCCGTCGCTCCTTCATTTTGATGCTTTTGCAAAAAACCAGTTTTTAGTCTGAAGCCGTGAAACTATCAGCCTATACTCAGTTTTTCATGGCGAATCTAGCCGCAATAGGCACAAACGTTTATAATAAACTGCGACGAAATGTCCGACGTTTCAAGTGAAAGCTGACTATTTTTGCCTTTTTTGACCGCTCTCAGTATCTTGGATTTTCCCAAATGAAAATAAGAGTTTTTTAATTTCAAAGTACACCATTAAATTCAGAAATAAAATTTCTCCATCGATCTATGTATGTTTAAACAAAATCTACGATAGTGCTGTCACTTTGAATTCCGCACGCCTTACTTTTTTTCGTTGACTATATCTGTGTATGGAAGATCGGATACTTTTGTTTTATTCTGCATTTAAGCAAGACATATTTGACGATTATACTCTTCATGAGTAAAAAAACATAAATAAACGGATGAATCAAAAGTACGAAAATAGCACCTGTACAAGACAGGAACTTTAAAGACTAGGTAGGATATGAAGCGCTCACCGAACGGTTCGCAACCGAACATGTTCGTTCACCGAACGGTTCGCAACCGAACATGTTCGTTCACCGAACGGTTCGCAACCGAACATGTTCGTTCACCGAACGGTTCGCAACCGAACATGTTCG